CCCAAATTTTATTGAAACATTAACTTTTTCAACATATCATTCATGCACTTTTGCTTTGTTCCTTTGCCGATTTTGTTTCCATTTCCTTTTAGAAGCTCTTGTGCAGCGGCGTTGGGTGGACCAAAATTTGGGTGGGGCTTAGGTTGCTCTCACATTTTTTTTCCACAAAATAGCAAGCAATAAGAACGAAACAGTGATGCTTTTTCTATACTCACGGTGAGCCACGGGATTTTGAGAACCATTCAAGCGAGAAGAGTTACCTTTGTCTTCCATCTCTTTGTTCTTAGTTAAATTATTGCTGATGGTGGGGACAAAGCCGATTCACCTCCAAATTTCCTCTAATTATCTATTTTCATGTGATGAAAAAGTAGTTGGACCTGATTTATAACTGTTAAATCTCAGTGCCACAAACATGCACGCACAGCACTTCAAACATAATTATTATTTCTATGTGCTAGATTAGGCCGTGTAGTCGAGAAATTTGAACGCACCCAACAAAGAACCAATGAGAACGTATGTATCCGTGTCACTGGGGGAAAGTATGTCGTAAACTTTCACCCCATTGCCAGGGCCAGGAGAGCGTGAGTCCTCAGTACAGTGTTCTTTTTTCAAGCCTTTCACCTTTCCTACAAAAAGAGTTTCATTACGGACGGGCCCTGGAAATGGGCTCATCCTTTGCTGAGCCCTAGGCTAATGGACAAACTTTCATTTACTTTGGGATAAAGTTGGGGGTGGTGGGTGGGGAGAGGGGAGGGGCTCAAACCCGCGAGCCCTTCACTACCCACGGCCACTGCTCTTGTGAAAACTGTCATTAAAATTTCCTTCGTCTTCAATGTCTGCTATTTATGAAAAGCTATCTTTATGGAACAAAACCTTTTAAGTAGGGCTAAAACAAAATACCCCCTTGGTTAAACACAAATGTTATACATGCAAGGCAAGGATCAGAACCGCTCCATCGTGTGCCTTAACTGGGAGATGTGAGAAACAGGAAGCCAGTTCAGGAAAAGGTCATGTGTCAACAAAGATGTTTTCTCAACGAAAACCATGCACACATTACACCGTATCCCGTCAATCAGCGGAATGTTACAGAGGATAATAAGACTCCATGCACTCCTGCAAGCATACACTCCGATTTCCCAAATAGAATCGTTTTGTAATACCCAGTGTCCATTGGCAGAATGGAATAGAGTCGAGTCGTGTCGGGTCAATTATTGGCGGTTTTAGTACAGGCCCCTGTCTTGCTTCAAAAATATTTGACCGGGAAATTTAGGCAGAGAAAACCGTGATCTCTGGTGACCATGTAATTTGGTGCAGAAGTTATATCCGGCGACCCTAGTTTATGTTGTACATGAAACTTACTGTTCACGACCCAACCATTAATTCCTTCAATACTTGCTTCAACGACTGTTGCATATCTACGCGTTTGCTGTGTTGAGAAGTTCTTCAATCCCACAGACAAGACACGAGATATTCTGATAGCTTCCTATCCGCCTCTCAAAATCAACACAATCCATTATCGTATTCTGCGCTCAAACAAAAGATCTGACCCTGACTTTGTGACTTGAAAGCTACTAGCCAGGTGATCTGTAACACACCCGAAGACTTTGACATGTACGATTCGTGGCCTTGAAACACTAACATGTTTGATTTTGAAGGTCTTTGTCGTTGTGTGCTCTAATGGTAGCATTTGCCCCTCCATGAAAGTAATTCTGGATGGCCTTGACCGTATCGAAGTAACGAGTCAAACGTAGCAAATGTGCGACCTCTTTGCAACCCCCCCC